CAAGCGATGCTCCGACCAATTGCAGCCAGAGCAATGACAGCCCCAAATGGCCTCGGAGGTACAAATATGGGTGAATCAACATTACTGAACCTAGGACCTGCCACTGGACTTGATCTTCAAGTATTTGAGAAGCGTGTAGAGAGGAGACGGAATCAACTGATGAACAACTGAGTGAACCTCTTCAACAATGCATACAGGTTATGAATACCTTCGATTGAGCCGCTGGGAATAAGTCCTTCTCCCTCCTTGACACTCAGTAATTCCATAACCTCTTCTGTCTCCAGGTCGAGATAATCTCTGTTGAAGACAAATATTGTCTGGTCTTGCACTCCTATATTGCATATAGAAAATTAGTTGGCGAAAGGAACCAAAATTTGCGATGGAGAGTATTAAGAAGACTGTAAAGCGAAGGTATGGTGACTGAGGTACATACCACTGAGTTCCCTCAGGTTATCTTCTCTCAATTGCTGACCATCTGATAAGAACATGATCATCGCAGCAGGGTCTATGCTTGTCAACGACGAGAGATATGGTCGGAGAGACGCTGGTTTTCTATCAACACCATTCCCATATTCAACATGATTGAGTTTCATGAGAATCACGATTGATTCATTTTGTTATGGAGAGTTGGTATGATGAGAAAGAGCGATTAGCCAACATGGATAACTCATCGTGCAGCCCACAATGTAGACGGGGGAAGAAATGGAAACTAACTTTGCGATATCATAAAGAGTCGTATTAACTTGATAAATCTGTCCATCTTCGGCACGACATATCTGCATTTCGAGAGTGGTCCTATAATATAACGCGCGGCTTTAGGGCAAAACGGCAATGACAGATCAAGGGATATATTATGGTTTCCGGTATCGAATAATTGTTAAAAATGCGATGTTGTAGTGGCACGATTAGCCTGAACGGATACCCAAAGGTGTTGGCGGTAATGGAGTAGTGCAAGTTGTTCTCCACTGCGCTAATAGCGTATGACGAGCCGGGCCGGAATGACCAATTTTCAACCTACCAATATCAGACCCAAATAATACTCCTTAATTTTGCGTAACATTTTGAACAGTTGTTCACGGTCATCCTTACGTTTAGTTGTTGAGCAGTGGAGGATATCTTCCAATTAGACCGTTTTACAAACGACAAAAGCGTGAATCTATTACGTAAAATGCTAGAGTAGGACTATCGGTATGTTCCAGCTTCCTCGCTCATCTTTTCCCATGACTCGAGCTCCTTTGGCGTCAGCCTTGTCTCTAGGATCTCATCACCAGACCCTAGCCCATCCATCCGACCCCATATACCAATCGAACCCGCCTGGATGATTTCTTCATCCGGGATGGCTTCAAGCCTTTTGAGTTCCCGTCGAAGATAGGCCACGAAATAGTAAACGTGATAAGGGATCTCAGTCAGAGTAGATCCTTGTCCAGTTGTAGCATTATTGGCTTTGTCGTCCATCGTCTGGGTGACAGGGGTGTCTTTCAACGGATGTGAGGCCGACTGAGGGTCAACGGTGTTTCCAGCTTCATCCGTTTTGCCACCCAAGTCCCACCCTTTCGCGTCGAATATGTTCCTCCAAATGGCACCAGCCAGCTCCCAATCGCCTCCTACCAATCCAATATCCAAAGATAGCTGGCTCCCGTTCCACAGCTCTCGGTATTATTTCATGTAAGAGACAATTGTTCGCTCTGAAGTTCGTGGTCCTAATAAAGCGCGGAGTCTGTCTTCAATATCTTGGAAGAAGAAATTGACCAAAGCTTGGAGCATGTATTTCCCATAAGGTGAGGGGAGAGCGCGCAGTCGGACAGTAAGGAGCCATACATGAAGATTCGTGATTTGGAACCAAGAATTGAATGTGCGAGGTACCCGGCATACTATGCAATAGGGGTTTTTGGTGAATCTTCTATGTCCCGTTGATATATTCCGAGTACGAACCTTCGTATATCCACTTTTCCTCAATAATGTCTTGGTCACAGCAGTCTAAATAGACCTTCTTGCCTAACCGAACACTATCTCCTTGCTTAGAATAGAGTCCCAGACCTTTAGGCCATGGAGAACAACACGAGCAGAAGATTTGGACCCGAATAAAGGAGTAAATTACATGGTTAGAGATGCTTCGGAGCTGTTGTAGAGATCGTCTCACCGTCATATAAAAATTTAGCAGAGTTGTATAACCCAGGATGCTTTCTTAGGTATGGGGATAGAAAGGAGGTGTCTGTCCAAGAAGATGGGCTATTCTGATATTGTAGAGGAGCATCGTTAGCTTTGCTTTTCGGATTTGCACTCGACGCTGATGAAGGCTCGGCATTGGTACTCGTGCTCTTTCCGTTCAATGTATGCGACTTTTCTGCCGAAGCGGTACGTGTTGTTCGCCCTAAATCCTCTGCTACTTTTCTACCACTCTGAGTTGCGTTATCATAAGGGCTTGTAGTGCTTGTTTCGTTTGCACCAGTGTTGTTGGTCGCTTTTTGCGTTTTGCTTCGGGCCTGCGCTCTCCGAGACAAGCCTTGGTTTGAGAAAATTGACGTTGTCTGTAGTTTCCTACTTCCTATGCGAGCATTATTCTGCAAGGGGCGATGTAAACATTTTGATGCGACGTGGTTCATGGCCAGATTTCAATTAGCCCAGCTCTTCGACCTGACCTCTGCTGAAACCTGGCCACTTTCTTCAATACAACTTGACAAAGATCGAGCAATAGCATACACTCCTCGACACCCATTCATCCCGGGTTTATATATTGCTACGACGCCGCAAATTTTGTGTGAACATTCCTGAATATGTCCGGCAGCAGCAGAGGTTCTTCGGAAATGAATAGAAATAGCATCGACAGGAGATCCAGTCTGGAAAATGGGGGTCGAGTTAACGGTTTGGATAAAACAGCTGCATCCCAAAGGTCGGATTCCCGCAGCAAGCTGCATAGCAGATCTGACAGCTCCACCATGGAGGAGCTGAGGCAGCAGCTAGAGAAAATGCGTGTCGAGAAAGAGGAATCAGAAGCTAACTACAGAACCTTGCTGGAGAGATTGAGTGAGATGAAGTCTAAGATTGGACTGAAGATCCAGCAAGACGCCGTAAGTTTCATTTCATATTTCATCCCCGTCGGACCCCGATTTAGTTAATATAACACTAAACACAGTCTCTCTTATGCACATCCTCTCCACATTCTCCACTCCATTGACGTGACACACTCTGATGATGCCTTATATTTAGGAGGAGCTCGAACGGAGAGAAACGGCCATCAATACTTTAACGGCTCAAAATGATGACCTACAAAATGCTATTGCCTCTTTACATAGCGAGCTCTCGTCTACGAACGCCGAATCGGAACGTGTTACGAAGGAGCTGGATACTTTGCGAAATACATTGCAGCAGCACCAACAGTCCTCTACCATGGCACACTCAACCCAAATATCTGCTCTGACTTCGGAAGCCCATACACTCAGAGATCAACTCAAGGAAAGCCAAGAACTTCTCGAGAGGGCAAGACTAGAGAAGGAAGAGTGGGAGCGAATATTGATGGATGAACGAGTGTCCAGCGAAGCATTGAGGACTGAAAATAGGACACTTAAAAGAGACTCTGAGAATGAGAGGATGAAGCGGGAAAAGTTTCACCAGGAGCTAGAGCAAGAGAGACAACGAGCCGACAATCTAGAAGCTGTTCTAGCAGAATTCGAGGCAGGTAAGAAGTATCAAGCTTGCTGCTCATTCCCCGAATACTAAAGCAACTCCAAGGTCAAGACAAGTCACTCGCTAACATTAAGGATACATATGTGACACAGATCGATACGCTCACCC